ATATATATATATATATATATATATATATATATATATATATATATATATATATATATATATATATATATAGCAATCAAAATAAGCAAAACAAAGAAGACTAGAGAATTTCATTAAGGAAGTAATTTTACCCGACAATTTCTGATTTCTCCAAGTATCTAATTCAACTACTTCTTCAGATGATGCTTCTAGCTTCGAATTGAAGAAAGCTCGTTGTTAATTACTCTTTTGCTCCGTGGAGCTGAGAAGGACGAAAGTGAAAGATAACAGTGAGGAGGACGAAGCAGATTTCAGAAGAGAGAATTCTTTCAATACTTCACTTGGTCTGCGACCGGCGGCGAATCGGCTGGGCTTCTACTGTATTGGGGAGAGGGAAATTGCCAAGAATAGGATGAAAATTTTAAAGAAGCAAAAACTCGTTCTTGTTCGCAACCCTAATTTTCTGAAAATCTCATCTGCACTCCACGACTGCGCTCGACATGCAATTTCGCGCGCCTAAGCGATCGCAAAAGAACTCATTAATAAGTCATCAAAATTATAATTTATAGATAATTTAGATAAATAGTCGAAAATAAATTTAAAATCCATTGAAACAAATTAATTGCATTGAAAACATGTAGACACGATAAATTATATAGTAGTATATTTTGAGACGATTCAGACATAATTTTATAAAATAAATATAATATACAATAATATATTATTTTAATCATTTTTTTTTCTTCTCTTATTTACGAATATAATTATAAATGGACAAAAAAAAAATTATAATTCTCTCAAAAATCAAAATCAAAATTATATAATTTAGAATTTTACCACTCAGTTTTTTTTTCCCACATTTTTGTCTTATAAATTTATTCATTTGATGAAAACATGCATGACTTTTCTACCCTTGATAGAGATTGATTAAATTTAAAAAAAAAAATTATAACTCACTACCAAATTACAATTACGTGGAACCTTTATTTCTTTAAATAATCATCCAATTATATTTTCGTTTTTCATTTTAATTAAAAAAATGAATAAAATAATTTATTTTAAAATAAATTCAAATGTTAGCGTTATTGTACAACTTACCATTTATGTCTCATCTACATAATTTATACGTTACCGTCACGTCAAAGTTGATAAAAGAATCATTTTGAAGCAAATTTAAAAGGAAGGAACAAAAATGTAATTTTTAAAAAATTAAAGATATTAAAGTATTTTAAATAACAATATGATTTTTCAAGATCATATCAATAATATTAATATTCATCTTATTTATAAAATTATTTTATATATAAGCTATAAATAATACATAGCTACATATTATTTAAAAATTCAAATCAAAATTAAGATAATTAAAAGCTTTAATTACATCAAACAACATATCGTTTCTCTTTATATTAGCTACACAAAATACATTAAAAACATTTATTTCATAAAGAAATAAACGGTCAAAAATAATTTAAAAAGAGTAAATCAAATCCATTTCCACGGAAGAAATAGATCGATAAAAAAAAATAATAAAAGGGAAAAATAATTTACACCTGGATAAAATAAAACAGCAAAAAAAAAAAAAAAAAAAAAAACTGAAATTAGTTACGGTTCTACGACGTCGTTTCATCTTCAGAATGAATCGATCTCTTCAGGAATGCTCTGCAGCGCCGGACTCCAAGTCGCGGCGGCTAGTTTCGCTCGGAGAAATTGCTTTCGTCTCACAAGAGCCAGCCTCTGTTCGACGGAGACCGACGACGGAGCAACTCCTCCTCCGTCGCCGCCGCCGGCCATGGCTTCGAGAACTTGAGCTAAATCTGTCTTCTTCACCACCATCTTTATCCGTACGACTCCGTCTTCTTCGTTCTGAGAAACAAAACCAGTTCCTTCTCTGCTTACTTTGGCAATGGCTTCCAGTAGATTACTGGCTTTCGCATTTTTCCGGCCTCGAGCTCTGAAAATTCGCCGGAAAGCTCCGTTCGGCGACGCGGTCTGCTTCCCGTCGATCATATTGTTAGGGTTTCGGTTGCAATCGGATCGAATCGGCATCGGAATCGGGGACGTTTAAATAGAGGGAGGGAAACTAAGTGGTTACGAAGATTTGGCGAATATTTAAATTACAAGAACGCGGCTCGAAAGCTGGATTTTATTTTATTTTTTTCAAAATTGAAAATTCCTGATTCTAGAAAACGAGAATAAATAATTACTTGAATTATAATTGATTGGATATTTTTAATAGAAGTTTATGTTGACATATTTAATAAAAAGTATTTTTAAAAATCTATTTCTGAGGTTTAATCCATTTTATTAAAACAATTTCAAAAAAAATATATTTTAGTTTTAAATTTTTAAAAATAACCATTCAAGTAATGGTTATTATTATTTCTAGGTAATTAAAGTAATTAAAAATTTTCATTGAATCAAGTAATTAAATGTTTCATCATCTCCATTCCCACTGTCTATTTCTAGGCAGTTGTGTACAAAATATTTTTTTATAAGGACACGGAAACCTCTCCTTAATTTACGTTTTAAAATTATAAAGCTAACGACAATATGTATCGAGTCAAGATGGACAATATCTGCTAGCAATGAATTTGAGTTGTTATAAATGGTATCAAAGTCAGACATTAGGCAGTATGCTAGCGAGTACGTTGGGCCTTGAAGGGGGTTTATTATAAGGTCCCACATCGTTTGGAGAGAGAACGTGCGAGTCAGGACGCTTCGCCCCAAAGGGGGGGTGGATGGTGTGCTAGCGAGTATGCTAGGCCCGGAAGGGAGGTGGATTGTAAGATCTCATATCGGTTGGAAAGGGGAACGAGTGCCAGCGAGGACGCTGGGCCTCGAAAAGGGGTGGATTGTGAGATCTCACGTCGGTTTGAAAGAAAAATGAATCATTCTTTATAAGGGTGTGGAAATCTCTCTCAGGCATGTTTTAAAATTATAAAGCTGACGACAATATGTATCAAGTCAAGACGGACAATATCTGCTAGCAATAGGCTTGAGCTGTTACAAATGGTATCAAAGTCAGACATCAGGCAATATGCTAACGAGGACGCTGTGCCCTGAAAGGGGTGGAATGTGAGGTCACACATCGTTTGGAGAGGGAACGAGTGCGAGCAAGGACGCTAGGCCCCCAAAGGGAATGGATGGTGTGCTAGCGAGCACGATAGGCCCCGAAGGGAGGTGGATTGTGAGATCTCATATCGGTTGGAGAGGAGAACGAGTGTCAGCGAGGACGCTAGGTCCCGAAGGGGGTGGATTGTGAGATTTCATATCGGTTGAAGAGAAAAATAAAACATTTTTAATAAGAGTGTGGAAATCTCTCCATAGTAGACGCGTTTTAAAAACGTGAAGCTTGTGACAACAAATCAAAACAGACAATATCCTAGCAATGAGCTTGAGTTGTTACAAGAGTGGTGGGTTTGGACTATTACATATTCAATATTCTAGTAGGTCAAATATTTAAATAATAATATTAATAATTGTGATTAAAAAAAATATAAAGGCTACCTTCCACATGCAAATCCTATTTATGCGGACAAAGGAATAATAATAATAATGTATTAAGGGAGGTCATATTTGCGTAACATATTTTAATGAGACCAAAGCCATCGGTCTATTAGGGAATTGAATGTTGTTTTTTATAATATAAAAACTATATAGTATAAATGTGTTTTGTAATGTTGGTAGTGGAAAAGAATTGGGAGGCATTCTTTTGCGGAGATTAAATTTGATCTTCAATTAAATATTGTATTTGACCAAAATTTATAAGGTTGGTAAGAAATAATTTAGACCGTCAAACGATTGGCTAGCTGTTCAAAGGCCTTGTTTATATTTGTTGAAAAAATATCGTATACTTAAATTATATCATTTCATTGACTTACGTGATTCAATCATTCCATCATTGTTATCTTTTAATAACTCATCATTAAATCATATTTATTTATATTATATATTCGGGTTCGAATCAACATAAATTTTAATATTTTAAGTAAAATTTATAATATGAGGTATCAATTTTAAAATTTTAAAATAAAAATTTTAAAATTTATTAGAATTTAAAAAAAAAATTATAAATATTAGAAATGAAAAGACGAAATAGATCAATTATTAATTTTAAAATTTTTAAAATTAGTAAAATGAGACTTTTACCATTTATAAAATACAATTGAAAATAACCCAAAATTTAATAATATTTTGTTTAATTTAACCCAAAATAATTTTCTAAAATTTACAATATTAAAGAATTTTTTTTTTCCATATTTCGAACCCCAATGCTATATTAAGAATGGGCTGGAATGATTTTTTTTTTTTATTTTTTTTTTTTAGGGTTAATGGTTAAATTCGAATTGAAGTATAAAAATTTATATTATCACAAAAAATAAAAAAGTTATAATGTAAAATAAAATTTAATAGTTTAATTAAAATTTAAATGCTACAATTTATTTTATTACTAAAAAAATATCATAATAGTTTGAAGAGTATTATTTATTAATGTTATTAAATACTATATATTTTAATAATAAGTATTGTTATAGTGCTTATTTAAATTTAAATTTCTATAATAAATGGGAAGAAACTATAATTAATATTGAATTTTCTTTAAAAAGTAGTCATCTTATTTGCTTTTTTAAACACAAAAGAAAAAAAAAAGAAAAGGAAAAACGGAGGGAAAAAAGAAAAAGAAAAAAAATAAAGCTAGTTTGAATTTCCACCCTCGTTAAACTAAAATTATTTTATTTTTTTCTTTTATATATATATATATATATATATATATATTGTTTTTTATATATAAAAAAAATAAAGTTGTCATCTTATTTGCTTTTGTGTATAATATATATATATATATATATATTAAATGCATGTGATGTAAAAATAAAAATATTATATTTAAATATATGTACCAAAACTAAAGGACATTACAACTTGTGCTATTAGAGTGGCTTTAGCGCTTTAGAAAGAACGTTCATACTCGACTAACAATTTCGAAAGGTCTCAACCTATGTTAGGAGCGGGAACGTCCTAACTGATTAGTCGAACTTTTCTTTCTTTGAAGCTGTTAAGAATGAGAAATAGAAATAAAATTAGAAAGGTGTATTTTCATTGATATTCATAAGTTTTAAATATGATATCATCTAACGACTAATATCTTCTCACAAATAAAATATAAACTAAGAGAATAAAATAAATTATAGAGAGAATATTAAAATATATTCCATAAATAATATATGCGCTAAAAGCGTTACTCATCCCTTTAATTGGATTAGAAATATCATAATTATAAATTTGTGGTTATTAACGTGAATTTGTATATTATCTTGAACGTAGCGTAATAATATATATTTTTTACTCGGATGTTTAAAAGATAAACTTTTAATTAAAAAAATGATTTATATAAATCTTAATCAAATTGGAATTGCTTCCACGTATTGTGTTGAAGTATATTCAAATATAGCCGTTGCCAACCTTAGAAGCCACGTTTTTATTCCTTCTTCCTTTTTCCTTTTACTTTTGCACCCTCACCACCTC